TGAGGGAGAGAAATCCCAATTCGCCTCATGCCAGAAATTTGGGAGGGCGAAATCCGGCTGGCATCCAAAACTAGATCACAATGTGCTGACTTCTTGGGTAAATTAATATCTGAATTAAACGATGAAGAAATTGAAGCACAGGAACAAGGAGGATAAGATGTAGGCTCAAGAAATGAATTTGACAAGGATGGAGGAGGTTGGTAAGAATATGCAGGTCTGTTGTCTGCAGGGTTTTTAATAATTGAAGAATATATAGTTCCAAGAGGAAATGGTCCAGATGAACAAGATGCAAAATTATTTTCGTCATTCTAAATACGAGTGGTGGGCAAAAAGATGAAGAAAAATGTATAATTCATCGTAAAATAAAGTAAATTATGCACAGATTTTGGTCATTTAAGCTGGATCAAAGAACAAAGTACACGTTTATAAGTTAATTTAAAAGGAGTATATAAAAAACTATAATTTATTCCGATATGCAAAAATAAAATAGCAATATGAAAGGACTAATGATGTATTTTGGGGATTATCAGTAAAATTCCTCACATTACAAAAATTTTAAAAACTTTAAATATGGTGAAATTGAGCATAAAAGCGATTCGACACTTGTCCTATAGTGTTTACTACTATGAATGTTAACTCTTATTATTTTAAAACGCATTATCAGGAAACGTTGTTTTCTCGAAAATAGCGATGCATAGCTAGGTTGGAGAAGCCACTTCAAATTAGATTGTGACTCGACTTATTTTATTACTATATTGGAAAAGTTGGCAAAAAGGGAGTCGGGAATTGAGTTCACCAGAAACGGAGGAAGAATTACCTTAGAATTATGCAAAGAAGTAGTGAGCTAATCATCATGCGACTCAAATTAACCCTTTATAAGCTTTCGTCTCTTATGACAGACTTCGTCCGAGTGATAAACAATGCTTTTTAAAGAAATGCACCAAATTCATGAAGCCAAGAAAATGATGGCTTTACTGCCTGTATAATAACAACTTACACGTATCCCTATGTGTTTTTCAACTATAGTGAAATTGCTTTAGCAAATAAGAAGGATTTTGGAATTATGAGCCGAAGACCCTAAGCTTGTTCATACACTACAACTCTACTTAGTATTTAGCATAGAGATATTGTTAAAGCCATACTTGGAGAATATTCGCTATAAGGCATGTCCCTAAGTAGCTGTTAAATTAGAATAAAAGCAAATCAGAATGGGTATAAAAAAGCAAATTATAGAGACATGCCAATGCAATAATATATGGTAAACATTAAAAGTACTATGAAAACTACAAATAACTTAATTTGCACTCTGCAATGGAAGTTACATTTATCAGACGGTGCAAGTATAAAGTACACATACAATAATAAGATGATCATGTATAGAAATCAGAATTCTTATAAAAAGAATGGTTGTATAAGGTTATAAGAAATGCCTTATTTAAATAATAATCAATATAAAATTAAAACATTATTATAAAAAGGTGCATATTAATGTAAAATCGCGGAAGAAAAAGGTACTGATTCTAAAAATGCTACAATGCAATTTGTTTTTTACTAAACGGAATGAGAAAGATTACTAATTCTCCAAATCTGCATCATGGATAATTGAAGCTTTTTCTGATATTTTTCATTTTTATAGTATAATGCGAAAATGAATAATATAGAATTGTTATTATTCCGCGATCTTAGAAAAGGTAGTATTTTGTCTTTAGGTCTGCGATATCTATAGGCATGTAAAGCTTATGTGTAAAAGGCAAATATAATTTAAACAAAGAATCCAATAGCCAAATATACATAAATACAAAGATTATAAAGTAAATTTAAAAAGTTAACAAAACAGACATTACAAATATATACAAGTAGAGCTAATAGTGCAGTACAGAAACGCTAAATAATCATGTAGATAAATAAAATAATTGAAAAATTATGAGCAGTAAAATACAAGCTCTCTGCCAAGATAAATCATAACAGACAAGGAAATATTGTAATTACCGTTCTGGAAGGCATATATGATGAAGGGGCTTGATCAGGAATGGTCACACCATCTATTCTCATATTCACATTTGTTTCTGCCTTCCTTTGTCTATCTGTTTTCTCTACTAGATCAACATCAGCGTAGACTTTTTCAGGAGGCAATTTGGTGTAAATAGGCCCTTGGGGCTGATTCAGCCTCCAGTCTTCAAGCCCAAGATCAGCCCTAGCCACCGGAGAGTTGTGTTTGAAACTAGAGACGATTTCAGTTTTGGGGAGTATTGGGATGCAACTTTTGTCCACTCTACCACCGAATATTGAGCTTAAGGAGGATTGAATAGGGATTTTAATGGAAGCGACAGATGTGGCTGTTGTGCCCAGACATGGAGAAGGTGAGAGCAGATAGTAGGTGTCATCAGACCTAATTTGAGGCATTTCGCGATCCGAGACACCTCCTGATCCTGTAAACACCATTCGGTAGGCATAATAAGCATTGGTCGATGAAGTAGTAGAGACGGGCTCCTTGCACATTGGAATAGCGGCAGGGATGGAAGTGGAGGGAACATTATGGAAGGAATTACAAGCTGCAATATTAGAAATTGGAGGCGGTGGAGAAGAACATGCTGACACAAGATCCTGATGACGAAAGAGAGCTGATGCTGGGATCTGAGATGGCAAATTCACTGGGAATTCTGAAGTCAGTGGAAAATTGTCTCCATCTGAGACGAGATTGAATCTCACTCTGAAAGATAAACGAAGAAACAAAATTCATAAGTGAATGTCTGGATAAGGAAGGTCAGATCACATTAATATCAAATAAAAATTGAAATTGACAGGATCGAGATGTAGAGTATTGTCCATACAGCATCAAGTATCTACAGCATTTGAAATAAGAAGTTATGAGATACAGCAATAACTAAAATTAAAAAAAGTTTAGGTCATTCTTTGAGTGAGAGAGTATCGTTCAAAACAATGAGGAAAAAATTATGTGAGGATAACAATGGAGTTGTCTTAAAGAATTTGGAAACCTATCACCCAAAACAGAGAAAACAATTTTTATTCCGATCTAGTAGACCACGAAACAACAAGAGATCTTAAATATTCACATATCGCATTATAACAGCCAAGATATCTGAAACTTTCGAAGCCTACTGAATAGGAATATAAGTAATATAGTTTATTGTAATAATAAATACTTAATGGACAATATTACTTTAAATGCGATATGAGGCCTAAATAAATTGTAATCCGCGCAAACTACTTGCACGTGTGGTGGCGTCACATTATGGTAACAGGTTTAAAATGTACGCTGTACTAGCCGAGTTCGATTGCTTAAGCCTATCCTGGAAAATAATACATTTTAGAAAACAAGGCTAAGTAAAATGCAATGACATCCTGAGGCATAGGTCCAAAAATGAATGATAAGAGATGTATTCACCCAATTTCATGTAAGGTAATTAAGGACTTGTAGTAAAATTTTCGAACAAGAGCTGTCGTTTTCATCCAATTTCGCATAGCCTTGCTTTACCAAATGTTGTTCTCATCCAGACAGATGTGGATTGCAGTTTCGACCTCACATCGGTCCTATCAACACCCCCAGTGGAAGTCGAACCGTGACAGTGCAGAATGGGAGCTTGACACGTTAACCACTCGGCCACATTGCCACGAGTATCGTTGAGTTACAGGACAAATGTGCATTTCAAGGAAAGCCAGGCATTTTGCCATCTCATATTCTTTAGTGCGATTGTCGATGAAGCAAACGTATATTTGCCCTAACAATCGACTACGTTATTCATTTTTCGTATTTTAAGTGGAGTTTCGATAATTGTGGGAAAATTCTACTACCAGTGCTTCATCAACTTACGCGAAATTGGGTGAATACATCTCATATTACTGATTTACTAGTAATCCCAAAACTCCACTTAAAATATGAATAATAAGAGATAAATATAGACACGAAATTCTAAGATAAAAGTAATAATCTAAGAAGTAATAGAGTTTTGGGGACTAAGCTAACATTGTTGGGGCAAGACTTTGTATAAATGAACTACGATAAGTAGCAATGTGTAAAAAACTTAAAAATAAAAAAATAATTTTGTAAAATTAAGCTCTATGAGTATATCAAAAGAAAAAGGCAAACAAAAATC